TAATCCCATCGTGCCCCGGCACCTTCCTCGGTTGCAGACTGTACTGACCACCGCAGTTCAGCGAGGGAGATAAACCACTCTCCTGCAAGTGGTGGCGAGGGCGACGACAGGAACTCCTGCACGCGGCTCTCCTTCCGGGTATGGATTTCCATGAACTCCGCACTTGCTAGGTGCGGCAAAAACTGCTCCTCGAAGTGCTCTGCTAGGATATCCGCTCTGCCCTTGGCATCGTAACGTTACTCGACCGCGTTGTTGGTCAGCGAGCAAACAGGTGGGCCAGATTTCGTTAACTGCCGGTTCAATGTGTAGAGCGAAGCTTGATGTTCGTCAGCCTTCCAAATGCGCCGCTCCCAGGCCTCTCCTCTGTGGGCCTGTATTGCAACCGACAGTTCGTTCGTTAAGGTGTTCAATTTGGTTTTTATTTTGTGGTGTCGAGTGCGCGCCTAGAGCTTCCTCAGCGCTCTTTTATGTTTTAGTTCCACGTGTGTCTCTCGCGGTAGCTCTTCCTTCCTTCCAGAGAGAGGGATGATCGTAGAGGCCGCGTTGAGGGCCTCCTGGATGCTCATGGATATTCAGGTTGCAGCGGCCTCTACGTCGTCTGCTGAGTGGATCGGTGCGTGGACTGGAAGTCACTCCTGCAGGTGTTGGTGGTAGAACCTCCAGTCGTATCTTGGTCTTAACGGCTCTGGACGGCGAAGTCACTACCTTGGTGCCAAGGGTAATCAGAATCGGGAGGTGCTGTGTATTTAGATCGTACAGCACCTCTACCACTACCGGGTAGTTGACGTTCCTGGAGAGCACAATGTCCAATACATCCGGACCCTTCCTAGGGTCTGTAGGTATATGCGTTGGTTCCTCGGGACCTAGAACGTAGTAGTTATGGTTCTCTGCATCCTCGTAAAGCTCACGACCCAGCGGGTTGATCAATCTTGACCTACACGCCGGTTGTTTAGCGTTCAGGTCCCCGGCGATGATGGTGTGTGTCGTACCTTCCATAACAGTCCGGATGTCTCTGTAATCATCACGGCGGTTACTGGGTCTGTCCCGGCCCTTATGTCAGCCAGGACTTGTGTACCAACCTCGATAGCTACGCCCACCAATTTGTGGATGGCATCAGCTGTCTCGAGGCCGGACGTTGGTGGTGATCTATGTTGGTATGAAGGCACTATTCTCGGGGCATTAATGGTAGTCTCTCTATGTGTAGAGCGCACCTCTCTGTGTAGAGACGGTAACGACAGCCTGAGGAGGAGGCTGCTCCGACTTCCGGCTCCTGTTATTCCGCTTCTCTCTCGTCTGTTTAGAAGGTTGCCTCTCCATGGCTTTATTAGCTTGAGGTTGGAGAATCGCCCCGTTGGTTGCCCTTGGCTCTGCGGGTTCCAAAGTTTCAATTGGTGTTGTAGGAGGGGGGGGCTGGTTGCCTAACCCTTTCCTCTGGTGATTGTAGCCCACCCATCCTCCTGGAGACTCTGAGGACAGCCTCTGGTTCTCCAGGAGTAGCCCTGGCAGAACGATCCCCTGCTACCTAGCAATCCTCCTCAGAACTGGGCAGCGGCGATCGTTGACGAAGTCGACGTGCGCAGTCATGCGCAGCGCCCGGTCAATCCGGCACCCAAGTTAGGTCACGGCTTTCTCGTACGCGATCTTCTGGCCATTGAGAGATAGCGGAGGTGGTAGGTTCCTGAGACGGGGAGTGAGCAGAGCGGTTGTCTTACAATATTGACGACCATCCTCCACTCATCTAGCCATGGTGGCAACAGGTCCAGCAGACGTTGCATCCTGGCAGTGGCAATGTGGGCTCTTCTGGACGTGGTGAATTAGGAGCTATCGTCCGCATATAACGCCAATTCCACGTCGTCCTCCCACTCTTGCAGCCTTCCTGCCAATGTTGGGATGTCGTTGGTGTAAGCCGCGTACAGGACTGGAGACAAATAGCTGCCCTGTGGAACGCCGGCTCTGATGGCTCTTGTTGCGGACTCGGCGTCCTCTACGCAGACGTAGAACTTCCTGTCTGCCAGGAAAGATGCCACTAGCCGCAACATAGCAGGAGGGACACTGGTCTGTTCTTCCAATTTGTAAAGTAATCCAGAATGCCACACCCTGTCGAACGCCTTCTCGATATTGAGAAAGACGCCCAACGATATACAAATTGCGAGCTGATGTTCCTCTTTTTCACCCTTTATTGGGTTTTGAAGGCCTGCGGTTGCCCTCATTACCCGGGTTTCATCGCATGGGAGGCACGGCTCCCACGGTCTTGGATTCTGCGCTTGGGCGCAGCTTATATGTAGATATTTTGCGCACTTCACGCCATCTATTCCGGTATCGGGACTCACACTCAGCCCCGGCGTCCCCCTCTCCGGGCGGTGAGCGCAGAAGTTCACGTGGGAGTGGTCGCCCATCGGGTGGGCGCGCGTGTAGTGGTGCTATATTGTGAAGATGTTGGTGTGGTCCGTTGTCTGCGCGGTCGTACAACCGTCTCGCAGTACGTACCACGAATTCGTGGATTGATTCCATTTTTAGGTCACACGCTATAACGTCATTTCTGACGTAACGACCGGCTCCCACGATCGCTCGTAGTGCAAGGTTCTTCTGGGCCTGCATCTTCTTGCTCTGAGTGGCTGAGGTTAACGCATACCATGCTGGTGCTGCGTATGTCAGCCGCGAGCGGATGTAGGTTTTGTAGATACCTATCTTGGTGTTTATCGGGAGTTTGGATGCCAGAATGGGGTACATCTTCGCTCGCGCGGCTCTAGCCTGCCTCACAACATAGTCGACTTGCGGGTTCATTCGCAGCGAGCGATTGATCTGGCATCCGAGGTAGGTGATGGTCGTCCTCCAACCTTCGTCCTGCCCACGGAGCTGCAGTGTTGGTGGTATCCTTCTCAGCCTGGTCATGAAGGCGGTGGTCTTCCCGACGTTGACCGCCATCCTCCATTTGTCAAGCCACTCTGGCAGCAGTTCCAGCAGTCGCTGCAACTTCTTGGCAGCGTTTTCTACCCGACGAGATGACGTGAAGTGCGCACTGTCGTCTGCATATAATGCAAGGACGACGTCCTCTTCCCACTCCTCCAGCTGGTCTTGGAGTGTGGGGATATCGTTGGTGTAGACCGCGTACAGATGAGGTGATAAGCAGCTGCCTTGTGGCACTCTCGCTTCGATCGGTCGTGCTACCGAAACAGCCCCTTCTAGACTGACTTGAAAGCTCCGCCCCTCCAAGTACGACGCTACTAGCCGCACAAGCATCGGCGGTATGGTGGTGTGTTTAATTAGCTTGTAGATCAGCCCTGCGTGCCACATTCTGTTGCGGCCGCGGTTATGTTCGGCCGCAAGATAGTGCAGCACGCGGGCCAATTGTGCAGTTGTAGAGTGTGCTGTACGGAAGCCGAATTGCTCCTCTCGTAGAGCGATGTGCGGTGTGATTTTTCTTAATAGAATGTTTTCGAATAGCTTCGCTATGTGCGGTAATAGCGTTATGGGTCGGTAGCTAGCCGGGTGCCTCCTGTCCTTCCCTGGCTTTGGTAACACGACGATTCTTCCTTTCTTCCAGATGTTTGGGAAGTGGCCACTTCTTAGTAAGCCACTGAACAATCTGGCGAGTTCCATTATCCCTCTTCTTGGCAGCTGCTTGATTGCCATGGTGGTAACTCCATCGAATCCCGGCGCTTTACGGGCGAGGAGGTGCATGATAGAGCGCACTACCTCCACCGACGAAATAAAGTCGTTGCCCTTTAATGGTGGTGCCGGGTTCGACAGGTATTCATGTACGCGGTCTTGTATGCTTTCTACATACTCTGTGTACCCCTCCGCTATATGGTTGGTTTTGAACTGAGCTTCCAGGTGCTGTGCCATCATTTTCGTCTTTTCTGAGCGTTGTTGTAGCGTTTTCCCGTGTTGTCCACTAGTGGGCATATCGGCGTGGGAGTCTTCGTGAGCTGCCGGTTGAGGAGATATATGGAGGCGGGTGTTTCCGAAGCTTCGTCAACACGCCTATCCCATGCCTCTCCTCTATGCGTTCTCATTGCTTCCGACAGCTCTTCCGTCAGGGTGTTTAGTCTCCTTTTGATAAGTGGGCATCGCGTCGAGCGTAGAGTCGTTCTTGTAGGTGTTGTGGGACTTCCTCTCTTCGGCGCCCTGTAGAGACAGGGTGTGAATGGAGTTTCAGTTGGTCCTCGTCGCTGTCTCTACATCTTCTCTGGCGCCGAGTCGGAGGTTCTCCAGCGCTCTACGGAAGCGGGTCCAGTTAGTCTTCATTTTTAACTCTCTGGGCATTACAGCGTCCGCACTTGTGTTGATGGTGAACAACACGGGGAGGTGCTGTGCGTCCAGATCGTACAACACCTCTAGCCGTATTGGGTACGGCATTTTATGGCACAGCACTATGTCGAGGACATCGGGCTAGTGTTCTGGTTTGGTGGGGATGTGGGTGGGCTCATCTGGGCCCAGAACCTCGTACCCCCAGTCTTCTGCATCGTCGATAAGCTTCTTGCCCGGAGCCCCAAGCAGGATGTTTTGCATTGAGGTCTCCAGCCATAATTGCAGGTGTAGTTGCATCGAATATTTTCCTTATATCTTGGGGGTAGAACGGGGTACCGGGCGGTTTGCAGGCGGCATATATTCTGATTTCTCTAGTGCCCACCTTCATCCTGATCCCTTTTGTCCTCGTGGTAGCGAAGTTGTCATCTGTTTCCACTTCTTCATGTATGATGTCTCTTCTGACTAGCGCCGCGGTACCTCTGTACGCGACACCTTCGGGGGACACCTCGTCGTGTCGATACACGAAGAAGTTGGGAATCTTCAGTTGAGCGGGGAGGGGCGCAGCTTTGTCTCTCCCAGCAGTACAATCTGGATGTTGTACCGCTGGACCAGCAATCGGAGTTCGGCGGCTTTTCCGGTGATGCCGCCGGGGTTCCAGTATAGGATTTTAAGCTGTCGGCCCTCTGTTGATAGCTGACAGCTGGGCTAGGGCGCCTAATATCGCCATTAGAGGGTTGGAACCCGTGGTCATGGCTTTTAGGACATCTCCCAATATCCTAATCACCACACCCACCACTTCCGTGAGGGCCTCTTCGACGGTGGTTGGTACATATGGGGTCTGTGTGGCGGGTGCGGCACCGTCACAAACAGAAACTGATGAATTTCAAGCTGAAAAGAGGCTCAAACCAGGGTATCGCACATCGTCATCAGACTCAGAATCAACATCGTCTTCGCCATCACCAATGCCGGAGAGGAAATTAGATATCCCTATAACTAGGCATAACAACCCCCATAATCACCATCACCAACAAAGTTCTCGTCGGGCATCTCAACCGAGACCCAAGATATGGACAAAGAACCCGTGCCGGGGCCGTCGACAGCACCGGACACGTATGCAGCATAGCAGCCGCGCACAGAACGACGCGGCCACCATCTCCACGAACAACGGGACCACCACCACCCACTGAAACATCAAAAGTGGCAAATTATCCTACCATAATTGTGGAGTGCTTCCCAAACTGGGCAAAGCACTTTAAAATACTACACAATATAATTAAACACGCCCCGAACGCTCGCCCGTTCGGAAAAGGGGTTCGCTTCCGGCCCCAAACAGAAGAAGAATATAGAAAAATTCAAAAATACCTCATTGAACAAAGCAGAGAGGACGCCACCATTGCGTGGTATTGCTATGCGCCGCACGAAGAGCAACCCACGAAGTTGGGGTTAAGAGGACTCCCTGCCGACACAAACCCACAGGACATCCAGGATGCGCTCATAGAGATGAGATTTCCCGTCACTTTTGTGAGCAACCTGGATGCTTATTCCATTCCATCAAACTCGACCATTTGCCCCCGGAAGAACTCAACCGGCTCTATAAAATAAATGAATTATTATACATGCCGGGAATCGTTTGTTTACGTTATTGTAATCGTTTGTATACGTTTGTTTTTGTGAACATTTCTTAAATCAGGTTTCAGCTCCTATATTTAAATTAGAAGGTTATAAATTAGTAGCTCACAATTTCCGAACAAACAAAATACGAGGTGGTTTAATGATATTGGGTTTAAATGATGTTAAATGTAAGGAAGATGCCTTCTGCATAAAACAATATAAATCTGAACATTTTGAAATTTGTGGTGTTAAAGACATAAACTCACATATTTATGTTTGTTGTTGTTATCGAAATCCTATACAGAAAAATTTTGATCTTTTTATGGAAAGATTAGAGCGATATTCTGAACATTTTTTTAATAAGAAATTTATATTGTGCGATGACTTCAACATTAATTTATTGAACAATGATAAACAAAAAAATGAATTTTTGAACTTGTTGACTTGTTATAATTTCAAATATTTAATTGACTTTGCAACCTTTTTGCGCAATGATGTAACATCTTGACTTGACAATGTAATTACTAATATAGATACAACAAATATTGACAGTAGAATAGAGCATAATGGTCTCGCAGACGGTCACGCTGGTTTATTTTGTACAGTAGAATTGGAAAATAAAATGAGTCCTAATATGAATGAAAGTATAAAAATTTGTCGTTTAGTTTTAAGTGACCACAACTCAGCAGAATTTAGAAAGCAAATTAGCAAAATATATTGGCACAATTTAGGAGTAAATTCTTTTCTCAATAAATTAAGTTACACTTTCAAAACTTGTTATAAGAAAAGAACGAGACAAAAATACATTACAGTCGATCACTAAAGGTATTAGGGTTTCAAGTAAAATTAAAAGGTTTCTAACATTAATTGTTAAAATATATAATGGAGTATTTGCAGATAAATATAAAAGGTCATATATACAGATATATAGAAGAATATTGAGAAAAGCAAAACAAATAGCTATACAAAGAAAAATTGAGTCAGCGTTAAATTCTAATAAAGAAATCTGGAATATTGTAAATGGAAGTAGGAAAAATTCGTTTCGTAAAAAAGAAGAGAATATACTACTAAAGGTAAACAATAACATCGTAAGTCATGAACAGGATGTAGCAAATGTTTTCTCAAGTCATTTTAGTGAAACTAATTCATTAAGCAACAACGCTAGTGATTCAATCTCCGCACAATTAATTCTAAAACAAAGTGTGCAGAAAATTGTAACAGACATGCCTTTTAAGATTATTACTAGCCATGAAATTTTAAAAACAATTAAGGAAATGGAAAATAAAAGATCACATGGTTATGATGAAATACCCATCAAGATTATTAAAGATAATATTGATATATTGGCTGAATCTTTAGCTTATCTTTTCAATAAGTGTGTGGAACAATCTCTGTTTCCTGATCAGCTTAAGGTTGCACGAGTACTTCCGGTACATAAAAAGGGAAGTAAAATGGACCCCAAAAACTATAGACCGATTTCCTTGCTACCAATTTTATCTAAAATTTATAAAAAGCTGATAAAGGTAAGACTAGTAGCACATTTGCGACAAAATAATATATTAAGTGAGAGGCAATTTGGTTATCAAACGCGTGTAGGTACTATAGATGCTATAAATATGCTAGTTGATGATGTGGTATGTAGACTCAATGATAAATATAAGGTAGGAGGTCTATTTTTAGACTTGAGTTCGGCTTTTGACACGATAAATCATAATATACTACTACTGAAATTGGAACATTACGGAGTTAGAGGCTCAATCTTAAGGTTATTTGAATGCTACTTATCAAATAGCTTAAATAGCGCGGCAGTTTCCAGTCTCTGGAAGAGGCAATGCGAATATCGAAGGAAGTACGCGACATACACAAAAACGCGCACTTCACCTTAAGAAAATGGGTTTCCAACGCACCAGAAGTTGTAAAAGAATTAGAACCTGACTCAGATGCTTCATAGCATCTTAGTCAGTCGATCTGGGAAACAAAGGAACCGAGGAAAAGATACTCGGATTAATCTGGAAACCGGGTACTGATCAGCTGAGCTTCAACCTAAAGCTCGCTCGACTTCCAATCAATTTGCTGCACAAAACACCAACCAAGAGGGAACGTCTCATACGGTGCGTGAAGACGGCACTGTACACCGTCCTTCATGAGAGACATCCGCATGAGGAAGTATTAGCCACGCTGCTCTGCGAGGTGGAGTACACAGTAAATAGCAGACCATTGACTCACATCTCTGTAGACAGCGACGACGACGAATCCATCACTCCAAATCACTTCCTTTTAGGAGGATCTGCGAGACTACCGACACCTGGAGTATTTTATGAAAAGGGTATGAATAGCAAAAGACACTGGCGACGCTCCCAGATACTCGCTGACATATTCTGGCAGCGTTGGGTCCGAGAGTATCTACCGGAACTTCAAAACCGGCGGGAGGCCCATGGACTAGGTCCCAATCTCCAGGTGGGCGATCCAGTCCTCATAGCTGACGGCCAGTTACCTCGTAACACCTGGCCACGAGGGAGGGTGGAAGCTGTTTACCCCGGTGTGGACGGACAGATCCGCACTGTGGAGGTACGCACAGCAAACGGCCTAATCAAGAGGCCAACTAGGAAACTCGTGCCGCTGCCGAAGTAGAAGCAACGTCGCTCACCGAAATGGATGCAGCGCCGCTGTGAGAAAATCGTCGCGACGCCGCATGGCGGGAGTGATGTTCGCGACGGCCTAACAACGTTAAGAAACAAAGTTATAAAGAAAATTGTTTTTTGTATTAATAATGAAATTTCCGACAAAACTGAGTGAAAACGTGTATTAATATAGTTGTTTAGCATGTTTATAACTCTTAGTATATTTGTATAGAATGTCGTTTTGATAACAAGTAATGTAAACAACTTTTATTATATTAAGAAAAATAGACCAATCACAGCGCGTCTCGTAGAACTCTCTAGAAGTTTTTTAATTAACTGCGTAATAGTTCATACTAAAAATAATGAAAATAATTTTATGTTCTAAAAGAGTTATAAATATGACATTGAATTAGCATATGGCTTATAGATTAAAGAAGTGTAGGAATATTTTGTATAATTAAACGCATTTGATAGTTATATAAAAATTAAAGAATTAATGTACCCAAATATTATGAAAATTTGGGACATTTCGTTTAATAACTTTTTACAATGTTAATGCTTTGAGGAACCTTTATGATATACTAATAAAGTACCAGACTACCGATTTATTGATGTATAGCATGTTAGTGTAGCAATTAGTTTTGTATAGAAAATATTGTAATTTATGCCATTTGCATAGTGAAAAGTTTATGCAATAAAGAGGCAAAACGGAAAATGGCAAGCGGCTCACTGTAAAGTATTGCTAAAGTCTACCTTAGGGGCTCGGGACCCAGTACCAGTAATAGTGTGAAGAACTACCAGTGACAAGTGAAGTGAAGTGAGTGGTATCCGGTGGTAGCTGAAGTGACTAGTAGCAGTATATAGTGAATAGTGAAAGTGTTAGCTAGCCTAAAAAGGTCGTAACTGATATTCGCAGTTACATATAGTGAAAGTGGTAACAGATATCCGCAGTTACACAAGTGATAAAATCAGCTAGTTTAGTTGATAATAGCTGCTAGTTAGTAGTGTTAGAAAACCAACTACTACCAATAGATATTTGATACCACCGTACAATTTAAAGAAATCTTTTGAAATATACAGTGACCAACCAATAGTGAACAACCATAGTTCAACCGTGGTCAATAGTTATAAAATTTCGCGACTAATTAATCAGTCGAACCGCTGGCCACTACCTTGCTATTTGTATTTATTAATCGTGCATTTTGATTTCAACCTCAGTCCACAATATTTCAGCGGCACCCACAAAGACGGCAGTGAAAGTACCCACCGGAACCTATAGGTGTAGGACGTGAGCGACTCGCGAAGTATCTTCGACAACATTTACTCCGGAGAGTTTCGCCCGTCCAGCACAGAAAGAATCCACTCGGTTATACGGATTCACTAATACGGAAAATATGGCACGGTTAAGGAATTGTTTACGTGGTGAAGCTAGGGAAGCCGTCTCGGCGTTATTGTTTACTGCGTGGGACCCAGCCGACATAATGCGTACATTAGAGCAATGTTTTGACCGACCGGAAGTAATTATCGATCGAGCGTTAGAGGATTTGCGACGCCTTCCGCGCTCGAGTCAGACAGCTCAGGAATTAAATGCGTTCGCGATAAAATTACAGAACGTAGTCTGTATAATGAAAAACGTAGATGGTAAAGGATATTTACAAAATCCTATGTTAATACGGGAGGCCACGAATAAGTTAAGCTCTCATCTACGGTCACGATGGTGCGACTATGCGGAGCATTACGGCAGTACGGAAGAACCCGACATCGTCACTCTGTCTAGGTTTATGATGTGAGAAGCTGACCGAGCGTTAAGTCATGCTTATACGTCCGTCACGCCAGTTAAGGAAATGCCCGCGAGAAGAGAGACGCCGCCATCGAGAAAAAGTATAGTAACACGCCGCGCAGAGGATAGGCCCCGCGACGTAAAGACGTTCACAGCACGCGCAAACAGTGAAAGT